CTGGTGTCGACGCTGACGTCGCCGTCACTTGTCACATTCACGTTGAGTCTTCTGACACGTCGACAAATTGTCAACAACGTTGCCACAGCATTTACCATGAAAGAAGCCGAAAACGGCAACAACAACAAAAAAAAAAAAGCAAAATAAAAAAACAAAATTTTATATGTATGTCGAAAAAAAATGCAAAGGAAAATCGTAGTAAAATTGAGAGGAAAGGAAAGGATGCGTGGTGGGGCTGATGTGGCTGGTGATGGTTTTCACCAAAAACTGGTCATTCACACAACGCCATGGTGGTTGTCCTCTATTAGCTGCAGCTAGCAGCATTTCACGCTGGATGACGCAACATTTTATGCCGCTCACTGGATTTGCAACACTTAACAGCAGCAGCGGCAGCAGTAGCAGTAGCAGTAGCAGCAGTAGCAGCAGTAGCAGTAGCAGTAGCAGCAGCAGAAGGACCCTGGTCCTGACCCTGCAGCTGAGTCCTTGCTGCAACTGGCGTTGGCGTCTGCCACATTTATCAACGCCTCGTTCAACAGCAGCAGCAGCAGCAGCAGCAGCAACTGAAGAGGGGTTGGGGGGGAAGGGTTAGTTGGCGCCAGTGCAACTATTCAAGCTCTACTCGTACTCGTACTGCTGCCTATAAAAATTTGTGCAGTTTTGCCCAAAAATTTTGCTCGCTGATGCTACAACGAAAAATGCAATTCAGCACGATTTGCATTTTTGCGAACGGTTGGCGCGGGTAAGTTTGGCATCGGGTATGGGTGGATGGGGGGCTTGCAGTCCGGACAGTCATCCATTGCCACTACATACATGGGTCAAGCCTGGGCAAATGTATGAGCGCGTGCCGAGTGCAACAAAGAGTCCAGTCCCCTCTGTCTTTCTCTGCCCAGCTAAGCCACCCAAAAAGGGCGACAATGTTGAAGAGATTTGGATTTGGATTTGGATTTGGAGACCCCAAAATAAATGTACATCCGCAATCGCTTCAAATGCGTGATTAAACAACGTATTCCAAAGAGCAACAAATGGCAATCGAATCTAACACGATGAAGAACCGACTGCGGAATACTCTGATAACAGCTGCTTGTCGAGTGATTCTGCCTCGACCAGTGAATAAACAATAATATGCCTTTCAAATTTCGGTGAGTCCAGTTTACCACACAAAAAAGAAAAAAATCGCAACATTTTAGAAAGTCGCCATAAAATGAAAATCGAATTTAAAACTAGACAGATTTTCTTGCGCATATTTATGATTATTGATTAATATTTCTTGATTAAAAAAATCTTTTCTAAATATCATATTCCTTTTATATGAGAGTATAACTGAAAAAAAAAGAATATAACTCTATAGGAAGTCACCCAACTCGCGAACCAAGAGTGTCTTTCCAAGGGAGATGATGACTATATGTATATTTATTTATTTATATTTAAAATTGTAGAAACTATAGTCATATATAGCCTCATTGACCAAGATAAGCTTAGTTTGTAAGCACAGATCAGACTTACTTTTAAGAATTATCGTAGCACTTTTAAAATGTAGACTTAAGCTGAATTAATGGCAGTTGATAAGAAACGCCTGATCGTTACTGAATAAAGATTTAGGAAGTGTGGAATAAGTCGGAATTAGTCATCAACTTTCCTTATGGGAATTTGGGCTTTGTCGAATTGCGATTATCGATTTTTATCGCTTTCGTAGGCCTTTAGTGGACATAGTAGCCCAGGCTGAACACTTTGTGTGTGGCAAGTCACTAGGCTTAGGACTGTCGACAGAAGGATATCTTAGCGGGTCGAAACTATTCCCGATGAGAGCTGATTTTTCGATGGTGCTTTGACCTGGCATAGATTGTCATTTCTGGACAGTTGTGCAGTAATCGAGTAGTCGAATAATCGATTTAAAAGAGTCCCACTGCTTTTAAATAGAATGCGTGGAACATGGCGTATACACAATATATATATTCATATTATTCTCAAACACAGACAGTGAATAAATTGCTGGCACATCGGCAAATTTACATATAAAAAAGACTTTGTTGTTTCAAAATTTCTTCAAATACTGCATTATTTTTAGATTTAATTTGTTGCTTCTTTTGTTTTGTGTTTGTTATTTGTCCAATGTGCCAATTGACAATATAACCTCAGTTTCTTCAGAACGTAAGCCAATTGGAAACACTTATGCAACCGATTGTTAACTGGCTTTGGTGGCAAGTTGAGCTGGCCGCAAACAATTGCAATTTTTTTTTGGGGCATATTTATTAAGCAGGCGTCGTTAAGGTGTCGTCTCGAGTCTATCCTTTGGTTGACTTGCCAGACATGATGCTTCACACACAAATATATTTTATCACGAGCGATTTTTCTGCCCCTTCGCGCACACGCCACCAAACCACCACACCCCCAACACCGCAACGCCTTCAAACATTAATCAAGGCAAAAATGCAGGCGAAATTTCCATGCGAATGTGTTTCAAGTGCCTTTTACAGTTATAAATTTGGGCACACATCCACACACACACACACACACAGCTCAACTCGAGGCATGCCACACACATACACTTACGAGTGGCACGATGGGGAAAGTGTCAAGTTAATGCCAACAGCAACAGCAACAAGAACAACAACAACAACAACAGCAACAACAACTGATGTGCCGCCTTCGTACAGGTGGAGTGGGCGTGGCTGGAAGTCCACCAGCCCAACAAGCATCTAATGACTGCGTTGACGGCGCCATTTCCCCGACAAAAAACGCAACACACACACACACACACCTAGATACACACACACACCTAGACACACACACACACACACACAAATAGTACTTTTGCACTTGAAAAAGTTTGCCATTAAAACTAGTTTTGTGTGTTAGAAAATATTTGAAAATGATACGCAAGTTGTGAACTTAATTGCATTTTTGTCAATAATTCAATATTTCAATATTTCCAGTTTTGGTGTGCAAAACTAAGCTTGTGTTTGGTTTTCGAATGTTTGTTTTCAGTGATTCTCTCAAAAATTACCCTTAATAGTTGTATTATTTACTCTCAGTTCCAATTTAAAAGCACAACTCGAACCAAAAATGTTGCAATACTCAAATCATTTCTATTATAATACTATTCAAAATTGTGAGTACTCTTTTCAGCAAGTGGGTAAAAGAGAGAGTTCAAGAAAGTTACAGATTTATTTACGCAACTCTATTTGAAGAAAAGAAAACCTCAACAAAAATAGGTAATTGCATTAATGCCCTGCTCCATAGCTATATATTGCTATATAAGGTTAGGATTTTCATTAATTAAATCAGTTTGGATTTATATTTATAGCTGCAAGTCACCAAATCGAGTAGCTGAAAGAGATGATTTTCTTGCAAACAGCTTGCCATCGATTTGGATGGGAATGTGCCATAATAGTTTAGCATTGGTACTGACATATTTCTCACAGTGCATGTCTAGTTTATAATGATGTTGATGCTATTGCTGTTGTTGTTATTGTTGTAGGCATCGCTTAGTTGCTAAGACGATGCCGACAGTTGGACCCGAGTCTTTAGACAAGTCAAGCGAACTGAAGTTGAGGCACGGGTGTGCTCCACTGACAATGATATGTGTGTGCTGCCAAGCTGAGAGTACTCCACACATATACACACGCGCACACACACATTCTGTCAAGGCCACACACACACACACACACAGAGACTGAAAGACAGAAAGACGCAGAGTTGTTGTGCCGCCGCCTGACAAGCGGGAGTAGAGCATAGATGCTGGGATGATGCAGGGACTGCGGGGGTGGTGTGGGGAGTGCTGCTCATAGCAGAGAGAGATGCTTTTGCAACGGAAATATTGTTGACAGTTGTGGCATATTATCATACGAGGAGAGCTGTCCCAGGCGCGCTACTCGTAATTGCTCAACATTTGTCGCACGGCATTTAAAAGCAACTGGAGACAAGTACACTCTCATATCTATGTGTGTGTGTGTGTGTGTGTGAAGCACACTTGCCTGCCCCCTAAGCAACATTGAAAATAAGACGCCTCGTTATGGATGCCCTCATATTATTTTGCCAATTATTGGTTGCAAATTCAAGTTCAAAACATTTACAAACACTGCTGTCTGCGAGTGGGTGTAGATGTGTGTATTTCGAGATATGCATATGAACAAAGGTTATTAATAAACTAATATTTAAAGCTGGCTAAGATACAAGTGTTGCAAAAATAAAATATGTGTGTTATAAAAGTGCTATTGAAAAATGTTAACAATACTCAAAATATTCTTCGTCGCATGTCTAAAGTATAATTGTTTCATAAATTGTAGTATCTTAGGAAGTAATTGGTTAGTTTTTCTTTTCTTAATTTTCTTCGAATTGTTTTTTTGCCTTCGGATGTATTTTTAAAGAAAAGCCCGTACAATTTTCAGATTGAAAATTCACTGAATAGGTTAAACTTTGCTAAAGAGCATGAAAGATTTGATTCTACTCCAGCGAGTCAACCAATATACTACAATTTTATATGTAATTTAATTAATTTGTTTTAATTATCACTTATTATTATAATATAATCAAATAATTGTCAGCAGTTTTTCATGTTGAGACATTGATTTACGTATAAAGTACATTAAAGTAAGTTCTTTCCTAACCTTGTATACCGCTAGCTTTATTCAATGACAAACAATTCTTAAAAAAAGAAAATAATTTGAGTTCAAAGCTGTTAAAAAAGTTTTCAATTTGTTTTTTGAACTTGGCAAGCTTTAGTAAACCTTTGCAACAGCTTTTATTAATGAAAGCTTGCACAGTGGCGCCATCTGGCTGTAAGTTTGCAAATGGTTCAAGTACGCGCTGTGTCAAAAAAGCTCTGATGCAAAGCTCAAATTCAAATAGCAGGGATTTTTGATGAGAGTAATTTGCAGATAGCTTTAAAACAAGTATCTGGCAGACAAATTCAAACAAGTTAAGATGCCCCAGCAACAGAATAGATACCCTTGCAGATCACATCAATGACTGCCATGTCTAAACTAAAAGATTAATCGATGTGTGTGTTTTAAGTCTTTTATTTCATTTCTTTTCGAATATCTATGAAGTTCTTTTGACAAATTAAAAGCTATTAAAAAAAAAACCCAAATAAAAAAAAACATATTCACAATGGATTAACTAAGTTCAAGATTATAAAAATGAATAATTAAATTAGGTGTTCTTGTGTGGCTGTATTTGAAGGAGTATATCGTCGGCGTTGCGGAACTTGAGCGAGATGCCCTCAACGAATTGAAGCTGCTCCAATTGGAAATCGCTTTTGAAATCAAAGGTGGCCAACAGCTTGACCAGGAACACCTTCATGATGAAGAAGCTATAGCGACGACCTGTCGATTGATCAGTGAAACAATTCATATACAGATAAATATACATATATATGTTAATATCATTATACAGGTGTGTCAATGTGACAAACTCACCGATGCAGGTGCGCAACCCTTTCGAAAAGGGTACAAAACTGTAAGAGTGTCGGCGCTGTGAATATTTGAAGTGGGCTGCTTCTGGCTGCTCTCCATTCTGCTCATTTGCTTTTTCATTCCCCTTTGCTTTCTGCTGGTCGTGCTGCTGGTCCTGTTCTTGTTCCGGTTCCTGCATGAAACGTTGAGGATCAAACTGTGTGGCCCTCTCGCCCCACCATCTCTCGTCGCGTTGCATGTTGAACGTATCGAGCACAATGATCGTATTCTGTGGCACAATCGCCACCCTGCCGGCCAACTGAAAATCTCGGCTGACATGCCGCAAATTCATCGGCACCGTTGCCAGCAGTCGCAGCGCCTCATTGACAAAGGCATCCAGGTAGCGCAGCTGCTGCAGCTGCTCCACTCCCACATAGCTGGCATCGTTGCCGTGCGGCAAGACGCTCTCAATTTCCGCTCGCAGCCTCCGCTGGCAGTCGCCCTTGTTGGTCGCCAGACACAGCAGTGCAATCATTATGCTATTCGAAACGGTCTCAAAGGACTGCAGATAATTTTGAAATAGAAAGTAGAAAATCGAATTTCATTACATGTTTCTCAATTTTAGAAAGAATTAAATAGAAAATATTTATAAAATTTCGATTATTTTCGATTTTCGATTTTCTTCATATATTTAGAAATTCATATATATACATGTATATGGATATATAGTCTTTTACTCACCACTAAAACCATGGACTGTGCCTCATCCTCGATGTCCTGGAGCGTTAGTTCACCATTGGCGGCCAGTCGGAACATCTGTTCGATGAATATGCGACGCTGCCACGGCGTATCCTCGTCATCGTCGATGGATTGGCGCAGTTGCCAATTGCGATGCTTGCGCTGCACAATCTGTGCCACAAAGTCCACAAGCAGCTGGTTGCACGCCTCCGCCTCCGCATAAAGCTGTGGTGCCAATAGACGATGCAACAAATCGATTTGCAGCCAGGGCTTCACAGTTTTAATAGCCGAGATTTCGAACAGCCTATGCAAAATACGGCATTAGTACACACTGAGAAAAACGAAAACTACTCAGAATGCTCAAGTCGAGAGTGGTTCAAATGGTCTAATGGAGTCTGCCTGATTTTGGTTTTCGTTTATAATTTACAGGGTACAATTGCTTTTTTTCAAGCGTCAAATTGAGTGTCAAATTGTAAAAGTCGAAAATTACTTTCGAAAAAATCGATCTTAATATTTTTTAAAGCTTAATTTGATATAAAAACAAAATTATGTTTCAAATAAAAACTTGCATTACTACTTTAATGAAATTAAAAAGTACTTTTAAACTGTTAAAAGAGCTTAGATACTCTACAGCTTCAGCTTTGGATAAGTCATTGATTTGGAAAATTTCGAAATGTTGTCTAAGAAAACCAACACAATTCATTATTGTCTAAAAAATGCAATTCACAATTTCTGCTTGTCAAAACGATGCTCTAAATATTATTTAGTATGTATTTTTTTTCAAGTGTATACACAGATACACTGTGAGGAGCACTCACCGCTTGTAGGTGGTGGCGATGTGGGCGTCATCTGCTTGCGTAAAATTCGTCGGTGTTCCCATAATGGTGACTGCAATAAAAGGTAACGAGGTGTTAAACCAAAAACAGAGACAGCAAGAGAGAGACAGACAGGGAGAGACAGACAGAGAGAGAGAAAGACAGAGAGTGTGTGTGAGTGATAGAGATAGGTAGAAGTGGAGGCACATGTGTGGCATTCAAATAAAGCCAGCTGACAGCTGGCACAGAAGGAAGCCATAACATCAGCTCCTGTCGCCATAATTTGACAGACGACCCGCTAAGCCTCACCATTTCAGCAACCACCCAACCAACCACACCCACCTTGTGGGCTTGCACTGCTTGCCCCGAGCCAACTGTTAATGGCCAGCGCTAACCATTTTATCCAGCAAATTGTCGAATCTCATGTAATTAAATTTGGCCTCAAATTGAAGTCAATCTCTGGCAGCGAATACTTCAAGCACCACCACCAAGTGTGTGGCATGGATAGATATATATATAGTAACAATAACTGATGCATATGAATTCCAACTTGAAAGTTCAGTTATCAATTGCTTGTGATGCTTGAAATGAGATTGGTTGAGCAAAATAAGAAAGATCGATTTAAAATACCCTTGAAGGCCCTTGAAGTTCATCTGCTGACAGCTAAATTTTAATCCAAAGTTTCAAATATTATTATGTTTATGTTTAAATATACGAGTATACACAATGAGATCGTACACATATCCTTCAATGCATTTGGAAACTTTGTGACCAAATTATGAGGTGTGTTCAAAAAGTATCGCGAATTTTGAATTTTCGCGGGTTACGTATATTCGAATTTCGATTTTTTTGTAGCGTTATGTTGGTACTCATGTCTCTCACTTATGCCGACGAGCTCGGCCATTTTGAATGTTCACTTAATTGTTGACAGCTGCTTTGCTTGCACGTGTTTTGGATCGTCTTCGATTTTTACCTATTCAAAAAAATGGATCAAAGAACCTGTATCAAATTTTGTGTGAAAAACGAAATTAAGTGCGCGGATGCATTCCGAATGTTGATTGTGGCATACGGAGAAGCTACCTTGGACCGAAGCAACGTTTATCGGTGGTACAAAATGTTCTCAGAAGGCCGAGAAGATGTGAACGACGAAGAGCGTGCCGGACGCCCGAGCACTTCAACAACAGACGAAAAAATTAATGGAGTGGAGAAAATAGCATTGGCCAATCGTCGAATCACCGTTAGAGAAGTTGCTGAGGAGCTAGACATATCGATTGGCTCATGCCATTCAATTTTTATCAATGATCATGAGTTCTTGCCACAGGGTAGAACGGTCAATAAGGAATATTACCTGCAAGTTATGCGCAATTTGCGCGAAGCAATCCGCCAGAAACGCCCGGATTTGTGGAAGAACAAAAGTTGGCTTTTGCACCACGATAACGCCCCTGCTCACACATCGTTGCTTGTGCGCGACTTTTTGGCCAAAAACAACACACTAATGATGCCGCAGCCACCGTATTCCCCAGATCTGGCCCGTTACGCTACGCTTGACGAGGCTTGACAAGATAAAAAAAAATGATTTTTTGAAGTGCTTCGAAGATTGGAAAAACCGTTGGCACAAGTGTATAATATCTCATGGGGATTACTTTGAAGGGGACAAAATAGATATTCATGAATAAATAAATAATATCTGAAAAAACACAAAATTCGCGATACTTTTTGAACACATCTCGTATAATACCTAATACCCTCCACGAATGTATAACAAAATTGTTTTAAAGTCTAACAAATACAACCAGCTCAGCTGGTTATAAAAAGAATTGTTCGATGTCAGCTATATAATATTGTATTCCGATCTGGCCAAAAAGTTACTAACTGAAGCCAAATGTCGGATTTGTGACAAATTTTAACAAGATTGCCTTTAAGCTGACTGCGTTCACATAATTAGATGGATAGATGCTGATCAAGAATATATATATAACTACTACAAAATGAAAATACCTCACGAAATATGTCAATATATTTAGTGATAATAGTAAATACCCAATATTTAGTTAACGGTTTTTGTGCAATCAGAAATGCAATTGACCATTTTCCCCATGGCCCTCTAATCATAATTTACATTATCCATTACCCACTCCCCGCACTCCACTCCCTGCCCCCCAGCTCCAACTATTGGCTGTGGGTGGTGACCATCGACACTCTCCCAATGACTCTGATTTCCTCTGTTTGGGATTCCGCGTACGTGAGCCGCATGGAAACTGGACAAACGTGTCGCGACCCGAAGGGCGTCAGAGCCACCAAACTACAACCACAAGCATACAGCAGCGTTCAACATAATAGTAGCACTACGCAATAAATGTGAAACGAATTCTTGCTCGCCTGCTAAAAGACATATTTTGCCTTCATTTGCATTTGCAATCAGTTTTGACATGTTTAGTAACAAAACAGTTAAACATGAAATGAAAATTCAAAATGTTGGTGCAAAAATGCTTTGCAAGTTATTTGGATAACATGGAATATTCATATATCTCACTATTTTTATATAAATACTTAACTAATTATCAGAATAATCTACAATATTTGGCACTTCTTCTGGCTCTTTGAAATTAATTTATGCGAATAAAAAACTCACTCAGAAAAAATAACAAGAGCTTCAAACTGACAATCAAAAACTTGTATAAATTGTTAGGCACAGCAATATTAACATTTTATAGCCTTTCCTTGGACTATTATTATATGTTATATATATGCTATGTTGGAAATATCATGTTGAAAGATATGAAAGCGCTAAATAGTTGTGGCAAATAGCACAACTATTGTGTTGGGCGCAACTGTACGTACAGAAATAGGCAACATACACATACATACACACATACATATGTATGCTATGTAATTTTGGTGGATGTAGATACATATGTAGATGTGTGGTTTACGATTTGTGGCACTACTCACGGCAGGATACCTCCAGGACGGCGCGACTGAGCAAATCCTCGGCGTCCTTGAACTTAACCGACTGGCCATGCAAATGGGATTGGGTGGCAAATTGCTCAACCATCTGATTGCCAACCGCATTGAATACATCAAAGAAACTGACAACGATATTGTGATTGAATGCCGGATTCAGTTGTTTGCGACGCAGCTTCCACTTTTGACCTGCAACAAGCAATTAATTCACATTCATCATTCCCAAAAATCGCCCAACCCCGCCCAATTACCCCGTGCATGGAGCAGGCCGCGTCTGGCAAAGAAACCATCCTGCATGAAGGTCTTGTCGAGGCACTCGGGCGCATTCAATATGCACTCAATGCCGGCCGGATCGTCTATATAGAGCAGCGCCCGAGTCCCGATCAATATCGCCAATGGTCGCTGGAAGATTACCCGCAGGCGCGTCACCTTATCCAGAATGCCTGAATTAATCAATTAATCAATTAAGTAATTCAAATACTACGACTTTAAATCTTAAATCTATTCAAGACATTCAATGGCAAACATTTTGAACTTAAATTGTCGCCTCAGACTATCACTTCGCTTGTGAGGAACTTGGAGTTAATTATACATTTTTGGGGACCACTCAACTGTTCGGATGCAAATTGATGCAGATCAGGAACCAGAGCAGGGGCTGCTGTGCCACTCCCCTCCAGCCGTTCAGCTGCCAGATGAGGCGCCAACATTTGCGCTGTTGGAAGGCCAACAGCAGCGCCAGCAGCGTGCCACAAACCCACATTGCCACATACAAGTGCATCGTTGTGGTTCTTCTTGTTCCTGTTGTTGTTGTTGCTGTTGTTGTTGCGGTTGCCGCTTAATGCGGTGCTTTGTAAGCAGCTCAGCTCTTTAACCGTCGTTGTAGCTGCCGATTTTCGATTTGTGATTTGTGTTTCAATCCGTCCGTTCGCTTGGCCAACAAAAACGCAACTAAACCCAAAAAAAAAAAAGCAAAACAAAAAATAACTCAAAAAAAAGTCGTCAGCAACGAGTCAATAGACAACAACGAAATCAATTGTGGCATATTATTCATTGCGGGTCTCTCATTAATTAGCCCTGCAATGCACATTTGGCTACCCTGTACCAAATAAAATATGGCTATAATAATCAAACATCAAACGCACTTTAAAATCGATATCGAATCAAGAAAGAAACCATCTCAAGTCTGGCATATATATTTCTGATTCAATCCTGTTCCAAAAGTCTTTGATTTTCCAAATCGTTTCAGTTTCGACAAAAATATTGACCAATTTCTTCTTACCTACATCAACAGTTCGGCTATAATATATTGCTGCCATTCGATCCGATTCAAAGTAGCTTAAGCGTAATACTTCACATTAAGCTAAAGCTCTCGATATATATATAAAATATATTTATTAAGCAATAAATGAATACTCCATATTTGAATATTATTTGTATGCCTACACTGCAGCGTATCTCCAAGTCAAGCACTCTCCATTTGCACATGCTTATTTGTTTTAATTACAGATATTTTTGTTTTTATATATGCGCACAAACATATTTATTTTTGGGCAACGCTACGTGGACTTTGTGGCGTCGTCTCGAGGCTCAAGCTGAGCTCAAGTGAAAATGATATATAGACACGCATAAATATGAATATATAACTCAGCCCTTTCAAATTGGCTGACAAGTCTACGGTAAAGTTGTGCGGAGGTATGCCAGAGCCACAAGAAGCATCGCCAAGTCCATAAGATATATATATATATATATATATATATATATATATGTATATATATTTGTATTCAGCATTACTAGTCGAGTAGATCTAGTTCTTTTTCAATAAGAATATTGTTGTGCTCGTTGTCAATTGCAGAAAGGAAATGCATTGGCCGCAACCAACTGTGTGGACGTCGCTACGCCCAGATGCTCTGAGCCAGAGTTGCTAATTAGGTCACCGATTAGAGTTGTTAATTAGATCACAATGGGCTGGGAATGGTGTGAATCGATCAGCTATTTACATGTGTGCTTACAGGCTGATCGTTGTTACAGTCGCGTCTCAAAAAAACGTTACCAGTGCGAATTGCTCTCATTTTTTATGTATGGTAATTTTAATGTGCTTATAGGTACACCACTACAAACTAGAGACTTTAAATTGGTAATAAAAGCTCTCGAATACCAGCTTGAACACAGAACTATGCACATATATTAGCCCAAGTAGAGGGACCGATTATAATGCTGTTCCGTTACACTCTTTTCGGAACAAATAATATCAGTTTTGGCACAATTTAAAGTTAGATTCCGATGTTAATTCTGAGGTTGAAAATCGAATTAAATTGATAATCTTAACAATTGTGTCTAATATGACTATCGGAAATCGATTAGTATCGATATTAGCACAATCGATAGAATGAAATCAACTTGATCTGTTTATGGTAAACGAAATCATTTAATCCAAATTTGAATATATCTCTGAAACGCGTTCATATAGACAGATTAACAGACAGGCCGATAAATCGATCGATAATCGTTTCGAGTGTAGATGCTGGTCAAGAATACACGTATATATATACATATATATATAATGCTTCCTAGTGCCTCTCACTTATACTCAAGCACAAATTATATTTTTGCCATTTTGAATGGGTTCCGGGTATAAAGCTACGTGGCTTATGAAAGCTCGTGGAATTTATAGAAAACTGTATGAAAATTCTTTTGCTTGGGGGCCACAGCAATAAGGAAATGTAAATCACATAAATGGTGAGACGCAGAGAGACAGCGGAATGTGAATGTCGCATTCATTAAGAGGCAAAAGGCAAAAGGCAAAAGACACGAAACCACAATAGAAACGAAATGTGGACCTTAACGTCATTGATGACTTGACGAAAAGGAGACAGCACAATTAGAAGTTAAGCAGAAAGACACAGAGAGAGAGAGAGAGAGAGAGAGAGAGAGACAGAGAGAGAGAGAGGGTGGAGGTAGGTATAAAGAATGTCTTGATTAAGTTATGGGGAATGTCAAAAGCTCCGAGCACAACGCAAGCCATCACGAGTGTCTGTGTCTGTGTCTCTCACTCACTCACTCACTCACACACACACACACACAGGCATCTCTTTCGCACCAGGGTCAAGTCAATAAAGCATACTGATTAATGTCAAATTGTTGTTGCTGTTCTTGTTGTTGTCGTCGTCTCTTTTTGCATAAATTATGCATAAATCGCAAACATTTTGCCAGCTGTTGTTCCCGTTGTTGTTCCTTAAAGAACAAATGCCGAATGCGTCGCAATGTGTCCCAGTCTTCCCATCTCCCGTCTACTGTCTCCCATATACCCCCTATCGACCCCTGTCTCTTCTTCTTGTCGTCGCGCACATTTTGAGCCTCAGACCCCCCTCCCACCCTCCTGGCATGTTGGTACCAGCACGAGCATTTAAGCTGTTTTAAGTCGCTTAACACACACTGCAAATAAAGCAATCAATATCAATGCAGCCCTCAACTTTTAAATACCCTTTAAATTAGAGCTGCAAGACAAAAAATTGTGCGACAGATCGATATATATATTTTTTTATCAATGAATTATCTTTTTTCAATACAATCAATCTCAGAGCAAACTGAAAATATTTTTATTTGATTATCTTTATTTTTTAACGTAATACTTTACTTCAAATACATTAAAAACCTTCGAATCTATAACACTTACTACCACTTTCCATATAAAGTATTATTTAATATATTGTCCAAGTTTTCGATATATCTATTATCAATATTAGGAATAATCGTTGGGCCGACCATCGTTATTTTTGCAACCCTACTTTAAAATGCCAAATATATAGTAGGAATCGTTTGCGATCCTTATTGGAAGTTAATTCTATTGAAATAAGGTATCCTATTGTAGTCTTATATGTGATTAAGTAACTTTTAGTTAGTTAGTGGCTGAACTTTATTGATCAAAATCGAAATCGTATTGGGATATAAAGATATATATATATATATATATATTCAGAAGGCAAACCTTTCAACCCTTTCAAAAATATATTTCCTGGATGCAAATATATCCTTGTAAATAAAGTAAAAATATTCTAATCGATAACATTTCGATAACTCGATTAGCATTCTTATCGCGAATCTGAGTTACGAGTAACGGTTAAGTTAACTTAACTAAAGTCAAAGTGACTCAATTTTGACTGGCTGACTGAATGTGTCAGTCGCATGTTATTGACTTCTTCACCCTTTTCTTTCGGCTACCCTGTACTACATAAAAGGGGTATGCACAAGTTCACGTGCAACCTCTTAGATTATATACATCCATCTATATTAATATAAATATCATATATATATAACAAATTTGCTTAAAGTTTCCAAATTAAATATTTGATTGACATTCGTAATTAATTTGTTATATTATCAGAGATTACTGATTATAATCAGTAATAACAGTATATAGGGTGTCTGCTGTGCCAGCATGCTCGCTTTGAGCAGACTTTCTTATTTTATCATTTTTTTTTCTTTTCACTGTTTTTACGCTTGATGCCGAAAATGCGGAAAAGCCATCATAAAAAGTGAAAATACGAGACAGCGGAAGCAAAAAAAAAATAAACAAAAAAAAAAGAAAAAAAATACAACAACAACAACAATCAGCGGCAAAGAAATTGTGATTCTGTGTATAAATTTAATTTCCCCGCATGAGAATTTGACATAATCAAATTTTTTAAATGCAAGCAATTTAAGGCCACGCTCGAGAATAAAAATAAACGACAACGGCAAGAGGGGGGAAGGGGGAATGGGAATGGGAATGGCAGGGTTGCCCTTGCCCAGGAAAGGCTGACAGGAATGGGCAGGCCGAGGAAAGGGAGGCGGGTTTGAGGGTTTGGGGGTTTGGGGGTTTCTTGTGTTGACTTTTGCGTATGATGGGTCGTTGCCTGCGTTGACATATGAAATATTAACGGGTCCAACGCACATCATACAAAAGTCAACTGCATGGGCGTGCCAAAAAGGGGATGGCTTGCTGGCTTGCTGCAGCTTGGAGGGGGGTTCCCCGAGGGGATGCCTGGGCGGATGGATGTTGGGGTTTGCGCGCAATTTGCCATCAAGCATGAAAACAAATCTGCTTTAACGAGACAAAGTCGCGTCATCTGTAGACATGTGGGTCACGAGGGCTGAAAGGGGGGGACTCATAAGGTGTGACAGAGTTGCCAGACTGCAAAGCCAAATATTTGACAAACTACCAGACTTTTAAACAAACAAACTTGCATACAGCTTGTCTGCTTGCATATCAATTAGAGCCCAACCAATTTTGTGCACTAGAGGAAAATGTAATGATGACATTTGTCCCGAAATGTCTAACGCATTACTGGAATGTGGAATCTTGTCGTATTTTCAGAGTATCTCTTCAGCTTAATAGAATCGAATGCAAAAATATGGCAACATCAATTTATGCATTGAACATAAAAACACAGTGGGAAAAAAGTCGTAATCTATGGAAAACCCAATTAGCATGCGCTAGTCGAGAGAGCTCGATTAGAAGAAAGAATTCTACTAGCAGAGAAAAGGATCATTAAGCAAATCTGCGTTTCTTATTCTTAATGCTCAATCGGTAATCGATTTATATCGATGAAATAATCAGAATTTGGATATGATATACGAGAACTTAGACAGCAAATTCGATATAGGACTCTAGCTCTCTATATTTTCTAAGATCAGTCTTACAATAGAGTATGTGCCTAATGATCGGACTAAACAATGTTGAAATCGATATCGAAATCGATAAAATATGAACTTATCGTTACAATACAATGTTGTATGGCTTCATGTGTGACGAACAACGAACAAATTGTTCCTTTTCCATAATTATTTACCGAGTTCGCCAATCACTTGTTGTGCGTCTGTGTGTGCGTCTGTGTGTGTGTGTGTGTGTGTGTGTGTGGGTGAATGGTGCGTAGATAAATGTTTTAGCAAAATGAAGATGAAAATGAAAATGAAGATGACATTGGCGCTTGCCGTTTGGCTGGCGCGGCTTGGAGGGGGACTTTAATGATGCCACACGTTGCTCACGCAGGGGCGTGGTTGGCTTTTTTGTTGCGAGGGTGATGAGTGGGGGGGGGGGGGGATTGGTATTGAGAGGAGGTGAGGCGCCTGATTAAATGTGCTTTGCATGCGTGTGTGCGCAAATGCAATGACAAGCAGCCAAAGCAGATGATTACATGGCTACACTCAGCAAAAAAAAATCACTCAGAAATAAAATGAAATAACAACCCTGCAAATTATGTTTTGAGCTTAAATATTACTTTTCACTTTTAGCAAATATATATACAAATAATATATATAAATTTGCTTTTATTTGCTATTGACTGATGGGATTTTTTCTTCGTTTCCCGCAAACCTTGCAATAAATGTTGGCCAATTTCACATTTTTTTACCCTCCGACTTAAATTTAACTTTATTTTATTTGTTCATTTTAGATTTTCATGAAATCATGTATTTAATTGAATTCAAAAGTTCAATTAAAATAAATGCATAAATAATGTGAGAGATACGCAATAATTTTCAGTTTCAATCAATGCTAAGTTTTGAGCCATAAGACTTATTTTCGATTCTCAAAGTTCTGGTTAATTGTTTTAACATTTTTCGTTAGTGCAAACACAACGCATGACTGGGTTGCAACGCCTCCTCACGTATTTATTTTACGTTACGCATTACGCATTACGCGTTACGCATTACGTGTTACGTGTTACGCTGCGTTACGCGTGTTGCCTGCCATTTGACTCTTCTCGCTGCACAAGTTTCGATTCAACAGATACAGACACACATATGTGGGTAAATATATGTATACATATATATATATGTATACATATTATCGTGGAGGCAGCTTTGTCCTGGTCACGCTTCGCTAGACTTCCTGCTTGGGGAACCATCGCTTATCGTTCATCCCAAAATGACGCTAATGGAATCACGACGCTTGTAGCCAAATATTCACTGGGCTTAGACCCAAAGGCCACAATACATAAAACAGATTGACTCACTGACTGACTGAGTGATGAACATATTCATATTTGATCAACCTAAGCAGCTTAGCGGTATCAGCCTTGACTTGGTCCCCGGATTAAAACAGCTTTTTAACTTCAACACACCATTTTGGGTCCAAATTCTACACAGGAATGATTACAAAATACACATACATCAAAGATATACATATACATATCTACATCCTATAAATTTAAATGAAAAGGACATTCTATTTTCCTTTTAAAGCCACGCTGGCAGTGCTGCAATATATCTTATATATTTTTACGCAGAGCGAGAAAATGTGTATTTAATTTCTACAGGCAAAACAAAAAAAAACACGCAAATAGTCAACAAATTATTACTGCGGCTGCAATTATAATGCCAAAAACAAATTTGAAATGAAAAAAAAAACGGAAAAAGGATTGCTCGAAGCCAGGATATTGTTTTTTCTGCAACTTTGCTACGGGAATTGCAAATTTTCTCTGGTGGCCATCTAAGTTGCTTATTTTCAAAAATAATTAGTAAATATAACAGGCATTTGCATAAATGTATAAACATACACATAATACGAATACGAATATGTTTAAATATATTCACATAACGCAATTAACACATGTACATTATACTTATAATTATTAGATACACACGTATATTTAATACACATCATTTATTTATTTATTTTAATATTACAATTATTTTGTTCGCTTCGACATTTAAACACGAGCGAATACTCTCTGGCGGGAAAGTGTTTATTTTTTTATTACTTTAATATTACTCAATTATTACTTTTGCAATTTTCAGTTAAATTCCATCTCGTTACTTCAAAATAAATATATTTCTTATATTTAAATGGTAGAGAAATTATGTATATATAAAAAAGATTATATTATCTATTAATTCAAACAAATGTATATTAATATTTATTTATACACATAGTCAATGGTTTGCAATAACTACATTAAGTCTGAATAAACCGGTTTTTCTTTTAATCTCGCAATTCTTATCTTCAAGTGGACAGCTGAGTCGACTGATTTCTGAGCCAAGACTCTATATATATATATATATGTGATTGCATGTTTAAGATGATGTATTCAGTTGAATCAACAGATTAATTGTTAGACTTTTTGCTGATTAGCTCGAAAAGCTATTGAAAAGGGGACTTTTGCTATAAAAAAAACCCAAACCCAACATAATTCTACAGACACGTGCTGTAGTTCTATCTCTCTCTCTCTCTCTTTCTTCTTTCTTTAATCAAGCTGTAAGAGAGGTTATTGATCCCTCTCTCTCTCTCTCTCTCTGTCTATCGCTCTTTCTGTTTTAAGTAATGCTCACTCCCTATTTGCTTGCAGGCGAATGTGTTGGAGCTGAGCTCTTTCTGTGCGGACACTCTCTTTGGCCAGTCGCATCGATAAGCTTATTTTTCGTGACTAGTTCGCAAAAGTAGGCACGAGGCACGAGACACGTGTCACGCGCGCATCTACGCCTTGACAAGCTTCGCTGCCAAGTTGAGATCAGATCAACTCTGCTTCGATCAGTGCAAATCGAACGTTCAAATGATGCGGACGTTATCGCTAATCGCGTTGATTTTCGTGGCGGGTGTTACGGCGGTCGTTGCTGCAGGCTGCGAACTGCAAGTGAAGGATCCGAGGCCGATTATCGTGAAGCGGTTCGGCAGCAAGACGGCGATCGTGAGACGAGCACTCGATCGCCTCAACATGTTTCCGAACGAGACGACGACGTTTCACTGCCCGACGGGCATCAACTTCAACAGCGTAAACAGCAGAGACGCGACAAAACTGAACGTGGCTACTGCGGAGCTGCTCTGCACCGAGGAGGGCTTATTTCTGGGTTCCAACCAGATCATTCAACAGCCGCGCACTAGCGGAATTATCAGCTGCTCTGGCGGCTTCAGTAAGAGGCTCTATGAGAGCAACAGCAGTTTGATTGGCTGCTCTGACGATCAGATGACGCTGGTCGTCGGCTACCGGCTACAGGGCTTACCCGACGTAAAGATCCTTGGCATTTGCTACGATTTGAGTGCAATGCGTTTCAGATTCGTTAGCTTTTTAGCTTCTGCGGCGACCAATTTACTCTTAGAGCTGAACACTGAGAACGAGTTGAACGACGTGCACCTGGACGTCGATATCGGCAGTTTGAGTACATATTTTCGATTTCCCACTCAATCGGAATTTAAGCAGATCCAACAGCAGCCGCAACACGATCTGGGTGATCTCTTCGATGCGAAACTCTTCGAGTATGACAGTTTGCTGCAGGATCCGGAACAAAAGCGCAAGCTGAGTGCATATGGCGATATGCTCAGCATTGTTTGGCTGCGCTCTCTTCGCTCGGGCAACTGGCGCCACTTTTTGAGTGCTCTGCGTAATACGCACGTTGACTTTGATGTGCGCTTGGGTGTTTCGGACATCGCCACGCTGCCGCTGGCATATAACTGTAATGCCACTCGGCCGCTGCAGTTCGTGGGCAGCACCGAAGACAGTTCGGTGCCGGTGCCGGTGCCGAAGTACATTTGGGCGCATGTCCGATCGCTGTATCCAACGGATAATGTGCACGATGAATTTGTTGTTGTCGCCCACAATTCCCCATACGTAAGTTTCTCTCTCTCCCTCGTTCTGTCTGTCGCTCTTTCTGTTTTAAGTAATGCTCACTCTCTATTTGCTTGCAGGCGAATGTGTTGGAGCTGAGCTCTTTCTGTGCGGACATCTGCTCTGAGATAACCTGGCTGAGCGACACTCTCTTTGGCCAGCTGCATTTGGTGCCCAACTATGGCGTGATGCACTGCTGTCGCCCCGATCAGCTCAATAAGCTAACGGACTTTCCGCGCATCGAACCGCCGCCGCCACCACCACCCCCGACGATATTAAAAACAACAACGCCTTCAACAGTTTTGCTTTAAGAGAGCAGCGACGCGTGCAGATTACTCTTCTTTGCCATCATATTGGTTGCTTAAAAGTGAGCTTTAAGCTCTCTGTGATGATCTCTCAGCTCATCTGCCGCCAGCCAAGCTTTAATATCCGCACATAAAAATAAAGTGTGATGGGGAAAATGAGGTATGCTTAAATTGCATTTAATATTTAAGCAAATTTGTGATTAATTAAGGCAAAACGATAATGTGTGCAGAGCCAATGCATAATATACAATATACATATAACTAACGAGTGTAGTTTGAATTAAAAACAGGCCATCAACATAATAAAGATGTGATTTTTTAATTCTTTTTATTAAAGGACAAGCGCCATTTAAAATGCAAAAGAGAGAAAGAGAGACAGCGAGAGAGAGAGAGAGAGAGAGAGACAGTGATAGAAACAGTCTTCACTTTGTGTGTGTGTGTGTGTGTCACGGCAATGAATATTAAAATTCTTGCGTATGGAATTTGTTATTGGATGATTTCGTTAAAAGTTTTAATTGGATTGCAAGCGTTATGAAAGCATTAATTTCATAACGGTGAACGCCCGTTCTTTTTTTCCCCCTTGCGAAAAATTGAAACTGAAACCGAAAGCGAAAATCAATTAAAATGGCGCTCAGTTGATGCGTTCAAGGCTTAAATATCCGTGCGCTTTGTTGGCCAGGCCAACAGACCACCAGCCATCTGGCTTACCAAAATCGATTGGCAAACAAAACACCAACAAGCAAACAACTATTTATATATAGATATATTTATTTATGTATATATTTTGGGCTTGTCGTGTATTTCTGGTGTGCTGTTCTCCTGTTCGCATCTCCTCCTCCACTCTCCATTCCCAGCCAATTAGTGCTAGTTATTAAGAAAATCGCATCAAGCACATTTTTCCAGTGACAGTTTTCAATTTCTAAACCTGGAAAAAAAAACGGGCTGCTCAGAAGCAAATTGATGCTGCGAAAAATAACAAACAAACAAAAAACCACAATAATCAATATATAAAAAAAAAAGATGAAATATTGTTAAAAAAAAAAAATAAAAATTCGTTTTACGCCCTAAATAATGAAAAACAAATGTTGGCTTCGTACTGGTATGGTGGTCATTTTTATTATTAAATTTTTAATTTTTTTCAGATTTTTGTTTAGCGTGAAGGCTCTTGTATGTATATAATTTATTTAATACATATATGTATATATATATAAGTATATATATAATTTTCATTTTGCTAGTTTTCTTTTATATTTTTAGTGTGTGTGTTCTTTTTTGTATTATATTCTTGTGTGTCTATATGTATGTATATATATAAATTTGCATCGACATACATAGTTTTTGTTGTTGTTGGTTTTGTTTTTTGTTGTTTAGTCGTAGAACAATTATCACATCTCACACATATTTATTTATTTATTTTATTTTTTTTTTTTTTGTTTTGTAGCTACACTTAAAACCGTATCCATTAGATGTTTTGTGCATATGTATTTTGTTCTTTGGCTTTTTTTATTATTATTATTTTCTTTTTTTTTTTTTTGGTTTTCGTATTCATTTGGTTTTTGTATATAAATCCTTGTAAAACTATGCAAAATCGCGTTCCTCATCAAACTCCCGCATCAGCATAAACATCAACGTCAACAACAATAACTACAACAAAAGACAGATCTGTCATCATAAATAACATATATAAGAAAGTTAATTTCAGAATATCATTCAATATACTCAATCATATTCAAGCTTGAGTGGCTGATTTAATTGTGAATCTGAATGCTAGAAAACTATCGATAGTCTTAACATGCCTCAGGATGCATCCTAACAATTATAGAAGACGCGCCAAGCTTAGTCGATTAGGTCGATCGGGAGTCAGAAAGGATTCTGTTGAGTTGACCACTTTATGCACACAGAAAGCTATGAGATTTCTTCTTCTTCTGCTTCTTCTTCTTCTTCTTCCATATTATAAGTAGAACACTTGCAGTTTTGTCACATGAGTAGTTGTTTTCATTCATCTACACTCACTCTCTACTCATACTGAACTCTACTCATTGCAAGCTTTACAAATGTTTCCTTGTATTGATACTCATATCTACTCATACTCATTCGTTCTTGTGGTCATTTATACTCATGTTCATTCATCAAGTTCAAGTTCACACACTCATATCTCTTTAGTTTGAAAGCAAACTCCTAGTCAATCCCCACCAATATTCATAAATTCCCAATCATTTATACTCGTCATCTGTGCTCAAGTTCAGCCTTGGTTATACTCACTTCTAGTCAGACTTGTGTTGATTTAGACTCATGTATACTCACTTAGACACTGATATCTACTCAATCTCATTTGAACTTGCACTCACCTCTACTCATATACGTATTCATTCAAAGTCACAATAGTCTTAACTCATCTTCACTGATACCCTTTGTTAGTTACATTTCGACGCATAATCATCTCTAGTCAGAGTCACAGTCATCTCTACTCCTACTACTCATACTCATATTCGGACTCATGTCTACTCATAATTTCATTTCGACTACTGTGATTATTCAGTAATCAATCCCGTCACGGCTGCAATTGGTGTCTTTTAAAGCGACTGTGCCTATCGATTAACTTTAACTATCGATAGTTTTCAAATTGGACATTGGCCTGGCTGTTGGCTGTCCAAGAAGGAAACACTCATGCTTTGCTTTTTGTTCTCTTGTCTTGTTTGTTGTTGCATGGCACTCTTTGCCGGACACTTGACACTTGACAATGGGGGCGGCCTTTTGGTAATTAGAGTTGGCCGGCCACCACTCACAGTTATCTCTTGGACCCCTTCTTCTTCTTCTTCTCTCATTTTAGTTGGCTGGGCGCTTTCTTTTTATCTTGCACTCGCATTCCAACTGACACTCAAAAGTTGGCTCATTTATATTGTATAAACAGTGCCGTTAGCACTCATTGAAAACATTTTCAGCTGCTGCCACTTCTGCTGCTGCTGCTGCTGCCACTGCTGCCACTGCTGCTACTGCTGCGGCTGCGGCTACTGCCACTGCTGCATCTGATATTGCTGCCCCAACCCTGGAGGCACTGGCCTGGCCCCCTTCACTTATACCCTGTACTCATTACAAATTTTACATAAATGGCATAATTATTAATTAGATCATTATTATAATTATTATAATAATTATTATTATTATCATTGATTGTAATACATATAATTATTATATTTAATTTGTATTTTATCAATCCGTTTGCTCATTTCAAAAAAACAAGTTTCTCAATTTTTGTTTAACAAAAAGCAGTTAAATATTTTTTGTCTGATAGAGATTTCGAAATACTTTTAGTCTAAATTCTGAGTCTGGCACATCAAAGTATTTTATCACAAAAAATACAACAAAATATATATATATATATAAATCATTTAAAAACTGAGGAAACTATAAATAATATAAAAACAAAAGAAACGCTCACTAATTAAATTTGTGATTTCATAAGATATGTAAATAAAATCTTGTCGACACTTTTATGTGAGCAACGCCTTATTTGTTCATTGTTTTTGAGGCAGCAAGTACAAATTAATTATTTTAATTATTTTCAAGCAATTTTATTATTTGATTGTAAGACAAAATGACTCACAAGTGTTAGGAGTACAGGGTATTCGTCGTCAACTCAACACTTGTGTTTTTTTTCTTCTTATTTTTTGTAGCAGCTTCTCATTTATTTTGCTTACGTTTTCTCTCCTTTCTTCATTCACATTTCTTTTGTGTCATTTGGCGCTTTAAGCTGGGCAGCAGCAGCTAAAAAAAAGTGTATTTGTGTGTGTGTGTGTGTGTGTGTTAGCCAAGTTGTTCTTCTACTGTCAAATCGTCGGCACTTTTCAAAGGCCAACAATTCATTAGTTATTTAAAGAAAGTTTTACGCTCCCTAGCCTCAACCTCCTACCACCCCACACCCCCCACCGCATCCCCGTCTGGTGTCCCCTGGTGACCTTTTATCTTTCACATTTCAATAATGCTGATGCTGATGCTGATGCTGATGCTGATGCTGTTGACAATCAAATACTTTATAAAAACGCAACAAACGCACAACAACAACAACACACACACAAAAAAACAAAAACAAAAAAACAACAAAAAAAAAGGGGTCTTAGAAACCCGATGCCAAAAAGCCGCTTCCTTCCTACTTAGTGTGTTCTGTGTCCAATATTTGGAGTTTTTCAATTTGTGTTTTGCATTTGTGTTTGTGTTTGTTGTTCATGTTCGTGTTCGTGTTAAACAATTTTCCCATTTCCCCAAACCGCCCCACCCCCGCCCCCGCCCGCCCCAGGTCCTTTGGCAACGCTGGCGTTCGCCTAGTAGATGCACTCGCCGAGTAAATCGCATTCACCCTTCTCGAGTGGCTTGAGCCAGAGCGGATTGTAGTTGGGGCACAGTTTGCGATGGATGGGCATTTTGATTTGCACCGCGGTGGGGTAGACACCCTCCCAGTTGTGTCCTTCGAAACGCTGGCCATCGGATCGGTTGCATTGCATGCTAAGCGGCTCCTGGATGTACATCGTGTACAGCTGGTCGATGTGGGGCTGTGTCCATTCGATAGTCCGATAATTCACCGAACGTGCCCCATTCAAGTGTATGCCATGCTGATGCTCCTTGCTGCAGTGTTGCAGTGTTGCACAAAAGAGAAAGAAAGAAAGAAAATACAAAAAAATACAATCAAACGAATGTGGACAGGATTAAGTCTTGTAATTGCCTTTTTTTTGGTTTTGGGTTAGCAAGAAATGTCGCCACTTTCACCCCCAAAAGCAAAGCGATTTCAATCAGCAAATTTCTGCTTTTGCTGCTTCACTTTCCCGTTTGCCTAGCCTTGAATCCTTGAATCTGTGCCGCAAATTGGGTCAACTACTTCTTCTTTGCTCATGAATACGATATTTTCTATTTTTCTATTCGCTCTATTTTAATATTAATTAGTTTTTGTACCGTGAATCTATGAAGAAGTTACTGAAAGGCTATATTAAATTTGTGCTTGCCTATGTAACCTAAAAATAAATATATATATATATATATATCTGCATATATATCCTGATGAGTCACTCACAAAAATTATAATCTGATCATCGATTAGGAATTGCAGATTTTCTTAACTAAAACTCAGCAACTGGCAGCTGGCTTCAGGGTATTTGCCGGTCGAGCAGTCTCGACTAGCGCATTCTAACTTAAAAAATATATATTTTAGAATTGTGTTGCTTGGCTGCAACTTTGAACAAAGTCGTCGTTAACAAGTCGACAAGCGTTGCCAACTAATTCAAAAGTATTATGTTTTTCTTTTTTTATTTTTTTTTATTTTTTATTTTTTCTATTTTTTTTTTTCTCATTTGTTGGCCTGCATCCATTTAGCTGCCATTGGCAGAGTTGAAAGTTTGCAACAATGTGGACAGCACCTTTGTTTTGGGTTTGGCTTTCACCTGTTTGTGTAGCAAGCACCCCGTAAATCTTCATGAGTTTCTCAACTGTGGCACAATGAGATGCGGCTGGCTTTTGTCTAGCCGGGTTGAGGAGAGTTGAATCCCTTTTAAGCCAGCCTTTTTGGTCCTTTTGTAATTTAACCGCAATTCGCACCCAGAATGCCGCAGCCCAAAAACTCGCTAAGTCTCTAATCTAATGTACATTTTTCTTTTTTGCCTCCATTTGTTGCAGCCATCCACGAACACCTTCGCTTGTTACACTTGCCAAAAAACCAGATGTGATTGTTTGAAAATCAGAAAACAAAACTAGCAAGTTGAATTCTTAATAAATTAAATTCAAGTTGTTAAAGTTGAAGCAGATTTTCAACGAATTAAAATTGAAAGAAAAAAAGTATATAAATAAAAAATGATAATGATAATTTTAAGAAAATTACAAAATATATTTTTATTGTGCAATAAATTTCCATTTCTACTTCTCAAATGATATTGCAAACAAAACAAGAAATTTGAATTGTTAATTTGAAGAAATTGTGGGCGTTTCTGCTTCTAAATGAGAAACGCATATAAGTTTTTGTCAAGTGTAGTTTTGGGTGCCGTTTGGCGTTTCAGCAACTGGTTCTGGTTGTGGTTCTGGCCAGGCCCATTAACGCTGGCAATTAGCGTGCACCTTGGCGCCGCTTCTTGCGTAGCGTTTTGGGACAGGCAGGAAGCTGAAGACATTTCCGTTATGAATACGCTTCGAGCCACACAAACCGGGAGCCACAACAAACCATGCCGGAATGTCAAAGTTTTTGCCTTTGATGGCCAAATGCCAAGCCAAAGCAATAAGAGCGACAAAGAAGCGAAAGACAGAGAGATAGAGAGAGAGAAGCAAAGCCCGCGCGTAGATTGAAAAGTAATGGAAGACATTAGCGACTCGAACCCGAAGCCACCCAACACCACCCAACACCAGCCAACACCAGCCATAACCGACCATCCGCTTACCGCTTCATGTAGATAAAGTAATCCTCGAGTGTCTCCTCGGAAACGGAACTTTTGCACACCTCCAACTTGGTGGCCGGATAGTAGTGAATATAGTTGACGCACATCTCGTCGCTAATTGAGAAGCCACCCAGCGTTGCATTCACATCGTCTAGGGTATTATAATAGCACGTTGTCACCAGAGCATCACCCTGCAACAGAGAGAGAGAGAGAGAGAGCAAAAGAGAGAGAGAGAGAGTGAGTTAACTTTTCAACTGCAGAATTCCTGCATCACTAAATGAAAATCGCTCTGAAAACTCGAAAGATATTCTGATTTTATGAAATAATGATTAAATATATAACAAAAACAGATTTTTTTCCTTTTTTCTATTTTTTTATTATAAGGAAATTTCTTTGATCTAAAAAATAAAATCCTTATTAAAGAAATGAGACGTAAGACGAGCAAATGAGATGTTAAGAAATGATTACATAGCCAACAAGAGGAAGAAAGAAAGCTGTCATAATACACTTCGAGAAAATGTATTAGTATCTAGAATTGTTCAATATAAGCTTGACAGTTGACAGCAAGTGTATAATTTTAGCTGGAATTGCTCGAAACTTGAGCAAACATCAGTTGTATTGGATCAACATTAACTTTGCAATATTTGTTCTACATTTTCGAGTTGTGCGTAAACAAAATAGTTTCTTAAATGAGCACTTACCGGTAGCACACGAGGCTTGTAGTGCAAGGTGCGCATCTCCTGGAAGTGATTGGAGTAGTAATCATCGCGATTCACCTCCCGCAACTCCTGTTCGCCCCGAAAGTGTCTGGTGAGGACGCGAACTCCGCGCAGATGCGTATGCAGCTGGGAGCCAAAGATGATGATGCCGGTGCGGGGCAAAGCAGCCCGGGTGCAGTCAGCGATGCAATAACCGCTGAGTGGGAACGCCTGCTGTCTGGGCGGTATGGCCATTTTATCAGTGTACTCGAGGCCCAGTTCCATCACGCCGGCATCGTATTGTCGCAGTGTCTTTGATAATTTGATGCGGAAACCGGAGCTGTCCACGAGTCCTGCCGGGCGTATGATTAATATTAATGCAATTGCTGCGCAAATTAAGAGAGAAGCAACTGCAGCGACAGAGGACGAGGAGGAGGACGAGAAGGAGAACGAGGAGTAGGACGAGGACTAGGAGATAAGGATTTGTGTTGTACACCTCCAACACATATACACACACACACACACACACACACACACAAGCAAACACTTGCTTTTATAGACAGTGGCTGAGTGGTGCACTCAAAACACTGTCAAGCTCTTGTGGCTTCATGTAATGCGCAAGACGCTGCCTCACACACACACACACACACACACACACACACACACACACACAGTGTGTGTAGCTATATATATGTATATATATAATACATATATAAAGGGACACAAGGACACTTCAAGCAGCAATAATGACATTTTGCTTCTGCTTGTCGCAGTTCGCAATTCACAGTTTCCTTTCCCCCTTGTTGTTATTTATACAAAAGTTTTAATGAAATCATCCCTATGCATACATGTGTGTGTGTGCCTGAGTGTGTATGTGAGAGGAGATGGGGGGGGGGGGAGTGGTTTAAAGGTTGTGAAACGAGTCACACAAAAGCAGCTCAACAATCATCAAAATCGAATTACCCCCAAACAGTGCATTCATTGCCATTGTCAGTGTGACCAATATTTGTTTTTCTGTTTGTTTTCATTTTCTGTTTTGCTTTTTTCTTTTTTGAAGCCAACAGCCACACTCTGCTTGGCAAATGTCAACAAACAGGAGCAACAAATTTGTTGAAGAGCTACGTTTGGCTATTCTGTGTAGCTTTAAACAAATTTGCATACGTTTCAAAGAAGAAAATATATACTTTAACGGTATTCGGGCTTAATTGGGATTATCACCAACTCCTCATCTCGTCACTCAAAAATTAGGATGCCAAAAATCGAATTTTTATCGATTGAAACTCATAATCGTTAGCGGAATCGATTGAGATTCTTTGACAGACAGACTGACAAGGCGAGATCGATTCACTTTTGATGCTGATCACGAATATATACATATATATATATTTATTGGGGTTGCAGATGCAGATGCTTCCATCCGAGCTGTGTACAGCTTGATGATAACTTGATATCCTTTGAAATGTTGCTCAATTGCAAGAAGGTTCCATAATCAGCTGATATTATTATAGTTGAGCAACATTCCGCAGTCAACTCTGAATTATTTACCATAATATAGCAGATACCATAAAATACCAGAATATCTACAGGAAGTTTCATACTTGATTTATACTGATTGGATTTGGAACAGTTTTGAGAGATAATAGGGAAAACAGCTTACTTTAATTATGCTTACAGCTTCAGCAGCTAAAACCTTTCCATCCACCACCCACCACACATACCGATATGGGTTTAGACTATACGCACCTGGCTGTAACTCGGGATTATTGAAGTGGACCTCGAGTCGAACGTAGGGATTGAAATTGTCGCCACCGATGGGTAGTCCCGCCTCGGGCGGATAGGTAAACGTGCTGGCTCCCATCGCCCAGAGAGCCATTACCTTGGAGCAGACCTTCGCCTCGAGGGGCAGCTGCTCACAGTCGCCATTGTACAGTGGTATCTCGATCTGTGGCTCTGTCTCGCAGTGAAATACCTCCATGTGATGCACAATGCCCGGCGTCTTAACGATCGGCTCAAATTGCACAATGTGCAAACGATTCTTGACAAGATCATCCAAGCGCTGCACATGGCACCAATAAGTTGTCTCCTTATTGGGCACCGGTGCTTTCTCCAATGTGATTTCCATTTGATCCAGTTCGCTTCATTTCGAATAAAGAACAACAAATCAACAATCATCGCATGCAAAGTGAGCAGAGAATGCAGAGAGAAGAGAAGAGAAGAGAGGAGAAGAGAAGAGAAGAGAGACTTACGTTTCGGGTATGATTATCTTGTCGGCTCGCAGCAGTTGCAGCATCTTGAGACCCGCCTCATGGGGTGCACTCACATTGGGCAGAGCAAACTGATGATCCTCGAGCGACAGCTCCGATTCGCCGCGTGCCCAAACCACATACATGGTGCCCTCCTGCGGGGGGCCGGGTTGTGGAAAGAAAAACAGATTAAGATTAAGAAGAATGAGAAGATGTGGGCATCAGCATACACTCAGAAAAAAAAGAGCTATGAATTCTTAAAAGGGAAAGTATATTCCCAAAAAAAACCAGGGTTGTTTTTCCAACAGTTCAACTCTAATATCAGAACTTAGCCAGTGAATCTCATCATTTTCCGCTGAGTTTTAGAAATTTGTATTTTTCTGAGTGTAGGTAAAAATGATTGTTACTCAGCTTAGACGAATAAATGTACGTACATGAAGACGTAGATCGAGGGGATCGCAAGTCGAACTTGCGCTTGAAGGCCAACGTGAACTCGTCCATTTTGAAGACCTCACAGTCCTGCTGGTAGTCCTTGCGCACCCAGCGACCATCGGGACTGGTGTAGGTGTCGGTAACCACATTGAAGAAACCATTCTGATTCTCAAAGAAACATATATCCGCATCGCCCAATCCGCCACGTTTCGAGAAGCCCAAATAGAACCAACGATGCTGCTCATTGAACGCATTCTGCAAATGGAAGAGCACCTCCTGCTTATACCAGTCGACCATCCAGCTCAGCTTGATCTCCTTATCATCCAGATAGATTTCGTGTAGCTTGGTATCCGATAGACCTGCAAATGTGTGTGTGTGTGAAGTATATTTTAGCTTGGTATCAAGTTGATAAGCTCTTCTCAGCTCAGTCATATTTGGAATCAATTCTTATATCGAACTTCCTCAATCCTCAAATCGAACTTGTTTCTCAGTCAAGTCTTTTATATTTTACATGCTTCATTTGTCAAATAGAACTGAACTACTCAATTTAGTTTTAAACCAATGGTTTTTCATTTATTTTACTATGTTTTTCATTCATCAGCTAAAATTATTTTCTCAAGTTTGAATCTGTAAATAATATAAAACAATTAAAAAGAGGTCAACAATGAAGCAAAAAATAAAATAATGAGAAATATACTTGATGAAGTTTACTGAGTAGCCTTTGTCGACTCAATCTTGAATCAAAATATCGATTTTAATCGATTTCCGATCACAATCGTTCAAGGGCGCAAGGTATTTTCTAGCATTTGCTAGTATCTGCTAGTCGAGCTCTCTCGACTAGAGCATTCGAACTTGTTTTGATTTATGGCTCATTACTCGCTCAGATCAAAACTTTCATTAGATAAATTGGCTGGAATTCGGAGTAATTTGCACAGTCATTTGACTATGACTATGACTCTGACTCTGACTCTGACTCTGACTCTGACTCTGACTCTGACCATGATTTTGTATGCTATTTTATGACATGGTCGAAATTAATGATTGCAATTAGAGGCACGTCTACAGTTACGAGAGAACAAGTTAGGAAAGATACGAGAGTACATGATGCGATAATCAACTTGGCCACGGCTCTAATTACCAAAAGTGTAAGAGCAAAGCAAATAGCATTTTACCATCTCTCTCTCTCTCTGTCTCTCTCTTTCTTTCTCTCGCTGTATGTATCTTTCTATTGTGGTCTCTGTCTCTCTGCCTCTGTCATGTTGGCCATGTTATCCTACTCTGGCAACGAACCGCAGCAGTGTACAAGGAGCAGGTCATCAGATTTATGTTACCGACAGACTTCCAGCCAGGCAGCAGAACATCAATTACAACTCGGTCTGAGTGGGTGAATGAATGGATGGGTGGCTGTGGATGGATGCGATGGATGCGATGGATGCGATGGACTCGAGTAGAGTCCCGAGTCAGTGGAGCGGCAGTAACGAGTAAGAAAACCTAATAAAATGTCAAATCCAATTGGCAAACATACACCAATTCACACACACACATTGTGTGAATGTAGTTTGCCAAGTATATCAAACTGTTTGACAAGCCACGAATAAATAGATAGATGAACGCAAACTCAGCTAGACTTGTTCCCAAAGGAGCATATACATACAAATATATATATATATATATATATATATATATATATGTATATGTATATGGAGTGCAGAAAAGCGACAGTAAAAACACTCGATTACAATCAAAATTGACAGCGATTCGTTCGTTGAGTTTCACTATTCAAATTTCTTTTTAGCCCAGCTCAAGATAGATGTGTGGCTGAAATCATTTGGTTGTCATGATGAATTCGTAGAGGTGTGTAAAGTATATACATTATATAGATATATATATCTTTAATCAGCAATAGCAGTCGAGTTGATCCATGCCCAGTCGGTCATTCATTCAGTCATTTTGCTGTTTTATCACTATATCATATAGCTAACATAGGAACAATCGATCGAGAGATGAGTTTTTTTACGAACAATTTGTTTGTTTACCCAGCTACCCTCGAAAGTTATTTTGCCGACAGCATTCGAACGAACAAACTATCAAAAATCGGTACGCTTTTCACATTTATAATGAAGTTTAGGTGCTATCAATTTGAAAAGTTGTCCACTAGGGTATGCAATGCGTGACCCTTTTTTATGTTCATTTTATATCGAATGTATTCTCAATGGGATTAACCGCTTTAAACAACGAAAAAAAGAAACATTCGATTTTGTTTTGATAGAGAAAAACAAACATTCGAAATATGAAACAAGTATTATATTTAACAATTCGGATTTGCATATGGATTTATTGGAGCTTTGGAGCAGTATCCTTTTCCACATTTTATCAATTTTTACTTTAAAATACTTGCCAAGTACTTGTATAATTGGCTTGTTGAGCAAACAGATTCAACTCTGCGAAATATCTCAACAAGTTGAACTTTTTTATTTATTTGATAAAACGTATTTTGTGTGTTGTGTGTTGGTCAACTTCAGCTTCAACTTCAACTTCAGCTTCAAGTTGTGCCCATCTCGTTGATGTTGAAATGCAGACAAGCACAGCGGAAGTAATATGACCCAAGGAGATTTTAGCGATGATATTCTAGGTGAACTCCAATGCGAGTCGCCACAGGTTGCGATTGATTTGTTATTCCACATATGTCTCCCAGCAAAACACAGCCACCCACACCCACTCACACACCCACACACCAACACACAGATACGATTTGAAAGCACTCACATATATTACATTGCCAAACAGTGTCCGCAGCAAGCTCTCGTCTCAATTTGTTCTGCAGCAAAGAGCAAAGGAAAAAAGAAAAAAACAAATAACAAAAAAATGAAAGAAAATGTAGAGTTGAAAAGAAAAAAAAATATATATATGTTTTTCATTTCCATTTACAAAATGCTTCTCTATCGTTTGGTGTCGTTATCGTCCCTCGAGTGGAAATAGCAACGGTAATAAACAACAAATTGCACTCATTGTTCAGATTTTCACAAGACTCGCTTAACGAGTGAATAACTGAATAATGATCAAGTTGATGTCATCATTTAGGACACAGACATGGTTGAACAACATAGCATATGGAAATATGCAAAAATTCTTTTCTATTTTTATACAATAACTCTGGAAACTATCGACGCATCGCAACAAGCACTTTGCACATAAATATCGAGTCATAAATGAGTTTTCAACTGTAAATCAAAGTAAAGTTTTCAAAAAAAACCAAGGTAAAAAGTGTACAATGAAGTTGTGCAAAAGCATGTGAAATGCAGAAAGAGGCGTCTCCAATCCCAATCGTGATTAGCATCAATAGCTTTTATTTATATAATGTTGTCGATAATTTCCTGTGTGCCCCCAATATCGATAAAGATCGATTGTAGCTGCAATTTTAAAGATATATCAGAGAATTAATATTGCTCATCTATAAAAATCATCAATCAATTAACCAAATTACACTGCAGCAAATCTCAAGCATTTTCTGCATTCTTCTCTTGTGATTTTGAAGCACACTCAATTTAGTAGAAGACCAGATTTCGATTATCAGAGCTGAACAAAGGCTCAGCTCTTTATGGTCTTTAATTTGTATAGCTTTTCTCCAGCACTCTTGACAATCCGCCAATAGGTGTACGTAACTATCTTTAAAATTAAATTTCGATTTTTAATCTGAGCTTGTCACATTGTCACACACGCAAACACACACACACAGATGCAGATACAGATACAGATACAGATACACACACACACACAGACACAGAAAGAAGCACACACATCAAAGTGACTGCCTTCCAGAAAAGTTTTAATTTTGTTGAAATTCGATTTGTGTTGCTTGCTTTCAGCTGGAGCCTAACCCCAAAAACAGAATAAAAACAAAAACAAAAAAGCGACAAAAAAAAATCAAATAGAAGGCAATCAAAAAAAAAACTACATATCTATAAAATGTTAGGAGGCCAGCATCGGCATCAGCTCCTCTGCTCCTCTGCTCCTCTGCTCTCTGCTCTCCTCTACTGCTCAACTGTCGCTTTCACTATTCAATTGCTTTGTTCTCGATTGCTTTGTCTCAACTTTTCAATTGCATTTTCATTCACACTTAACGGCTCTTTTGCCACTCGACAATTTAAGCTACTGCCACTGCCACTGCCACTGCCACTGCTACACAGCAGTAATAACGACAACAACAATGCATTGCACACATAACTGTGCATTTAATAAACTTGTCCGGAGTTTATTGCATTTGGCTGACTGCTCCTGCTCCGCAATGCCAACAAAATAACAAAAAATACATCAATATTTCAAAGAAGACAAAAATTTTGACGAATTATAAATACCCTTCCCCAGACATAGTTTGCCAACTGATTGATTTTTAACAATACATTTGGAGCATTGCATTTGATATATATTTCTCAAATCTCAGCAAACAGCAGAAATTATACAGATTATCATATATCACATATCATACAGAAATTATCATATATATCATAATCAAGCATATTATTGCTTAGAAAACACGTCCCTTGTTGCATATACATATATAGAAACCTCAGACTTGCAACAAAATAGATATGCCTTGATAAGGCTAAATAAGAACTCGAAAATAGATCCTTGTATTGTTGTACACTTAACGAAAGAGTTTTAACTTATCTATATAATATCTATATAATATCGATAACCATCCTATCCACTTACACTTTGTAGCTAAACCCAGAGAGGAAAGAACTCATTGTAAACATGCCCGAACCCAGATAAATGTGAAATTACTTTCTCCAACTACTACTTTCTCTTTCTCATCTGAATTATCTACATTTATATTTACGTTCTCTGAATAACAAATTCTAATTTTCACTGCTGAAGGAATATTATATTATAATATTTATATATGGTACTCTAATATTTATTATAATATTTATTAATATGATATTCAATATTGGTTTTCTTATAAATCACAATTGCATCCCAACACTTTCGGCCTGTTCTAACAATTGAAGGCTATATCTATATATATACATATTCCTGATCGAAGGACGAAACAATTTAGACATGTTGGCTTAGCTATCTTTAGTCTTAGGCATCAGACATATATATATTTTGTAATATATTCTTTCAAAGCGTATTAAAACTACGAAAAAAATCAACTTTTTTGGCGCTGAACTTGAAAACCTTTTTGAAGCTTAGTTGTGTTTTAGTGTGTGTGCTTGAGTGAGTGTGTGTGTGTGTGTGTGTGTGTATGTGTGTGTGTGTGTGTTTGGCGTTCGTTGGCTGTATATGTGTGTGTGTGTGTGTGTAATTTGGATGGTTAGCCCGGCTGTATTACGTGAATGTGGTGCAGAGTTCA